ACAACAAATATAAGAAATACAAAAAAAATTTTACACAACATGAAGAAAATATAATTAAATTAAGGGGGTCCTTCAAAAACGCACTTTGTTATTTTTCGTCTGATTTCAACCAAATTTTGGGAGAATATTAGCCTAGGCTACGATAGATTATGAGTGAAATATATTCCTCAAACTCCAATATACTAACGAGTTATAGTCAATTTATTGGTCAAAAGTATCCTGTATGTGGGCAACGTTTTCACAATCAGGGTACGAACTAATATGCCGGGGCGTTTTTTAAGTTGTAGAGTACCCTTAGGGCTAGATCCTCACAGAGCCCGATTTTTGAAATTCCCTTTGGTTGTTTTTTAAAAAACTTTTCCGAAAAACTCTGGAATTCATGGGCAAAAAGATCGCTGAGAAAAATGAAATATGTAAGTTTTTTATTTCACCAATAGAGAGATTCAAAAGTCAGATCCTGTAAGGATCTAGTCCTAACTGTCCTCTTTGCAATAAAAATAAGTTATCACTTCTATATTGAGTCGTTATTGAGCAAGGTTTGCCTGCACAAACAGTATACTCGAAAAAACGGAAAATATGTTTTTAAAAACCTTATTTTTTCCAATATGGAAGTTCAGAAAAACTTATTTAATATTCTTAAAGCTCGTCATAAAATCACTCAACTATGGTGCATCCAAGAGTAGACACATTGTTCTATCTAACGAGTCATAAATCACAAAATTGATGAACTTCTCAAAAACTGACTTTGTCTGATGGAGGCCCATTAAACAAAAAGACTCTTTTCAAAAACTTTTTGCACACTGAACGTCCAGAAGGAGGAACGAGTCGGTCAATACTGGACATTTCTGAAGAGGGGAGAGAGGTCCAAAAATGCCGTTTTTAACCAGCCGTCTTTTATGGATGAGCCCTTGTACTTTCGATTTATTAATAGATTTTTGTAAAGGAATGCAAAGAGAATATCTAAGACATTATTGGTTAATATGGACTACAAAAACATACGAATGTCAACAAGATTTTCCTCGAGCAAATCAAAGAGAATCCCAAGAAAATATTTTAAATATTTTAAACATGCTTCGAGCAGCTGATGATAATCAACTTGAGCCACTTGATACTAATCTTCAATTTTCATCTTTATTAAAAGAATTTCCTTTTTATGAATTTGATCAGAATTTATATAAAAATAATAGGTCGCAATTAATAGAATCCATTGATAAGTTTAATGAACATAGCTATCCAATAAATTTATTTGAGATTTTTCAAATATCTTCAAATTCGTTATTTTTTAATGAAAACGAAACAGAGATTTTTTCAAATCTATTAGCTAATTTCGAGCAGTTAGATACTATTAATGACTTTCCTTTTGTTTTTCAACATAATTTAAATTTAATAAATATTGAAAAAGATCAATTTAATAGTCTAATAGAACAAACAGTGAAAATAGAAGAAATACTTATTCAATATCCTTGATCTTATTTATATGATATTATCTTTAATTTTTCAATTATTATTGAAAAAATAAAAACAGATCAAAGTGTATTGTCTGATCAAAGTGAATATTTAAATGAAATCTATCAATCAAAAGATCTACACAAATGATTAACTTTTCAATCTTCAAAAACTTATCCGAAGACAACAAAATTTACAATTGAACAACAAATAGACGCTTTTAACACTTTATATGATCCAAGTTTACTTGAAGAAATCTTTCATAATCTTCCTAAATCGCATGATATCCGTAACTTTTTTAAAAATGAAAAATTAATTGAATTTATTCGATGGACAGTAAATCATTTAAATAGTTTTGAAAATCAAACAACACAAAATACTCTAGGGATAGTAGAAAATATTTTACAAAAAATGACAAATAACGATCTTCAACTTTTAAGAATAGTTTTTCAATATAAAGAAGATAAATTACAAATCGAGAAACAAGAACAAGAAATAGAATTAATTAAAAACAAGAAAGAAAATTCCTTACAATAGGGTGGGTGTGGGTGTGAATGAGAGAACACTACATCCACTCACACCCACACCCCGAAAGAGATTATGAAATATACCGAGATAAGAAAAACCGGTCAGTGAGATCAACTTTAGTAAAATGTGTGTTATGAATGTATAAAATGACATCGATAAGATTACAAAAATTATTTTTACAAATTAAATCGTATCATGAAAAATACTTTATTTGAATTTCAAATATTCAGTTTTTAACATATTTAAAGCTAAATCAATCAAATAAATATCCTTACATTCTTCATCATTTTAATTCAGAAAATCTTACAATTACATCGAATATTCAACAATGTCTCTATTACTTAGGGTAATTCAAAAGTAGTGGCAGAGGTATTTTAATTCCTTATAAAAATCTTAAAAAGACTTTCTTTTTATATTATCTGATAGTGAAAACAATGCTCTATTTTTCTATAATATTTGATAATCCTGCAGCTAATATTATAATAAAAAAAGTTCGATAAAGATCTGTTTGTTATAATATGTAACAGTTACATTAACACTCATTTGAAAAAAGTCCGATGAGTATTTTTTGAATAACTTTTGAGAGAAATAAGATAGAGAACTGTGGTCATCACAGTTGGACAGAGGAGATGACGACGCAACGAATCATATAGTTATTATAGCTTTTTCTAATATCATTTATCAAGTTTTTAAATTAATTTTCTAAGTGCCGAAACAATGGTTGTTTCTTAAAAAAGGGTAAACAAAAAAGTGATTTCTTTTTCATAAAAATTGCCAGAAAATCGACCGAGTTTCGATTAGAATACCTATAAATGTGGAATGATTAAATTCAAATCTCTAATATTTGCGATGTTTCGGGATATGGATGTAGGTGTGAGTGTGAGTGTGGATGGCTGTCGATGTGGGTGTCCGTAGGTGTGGTTGTGGATATGAATGAGTGTGACAAGAAGATCCACACTCACCCACAGTTACACCATAAAATTTGAACGCTCTCACGGATAGATATAGTACAACAGTACTGAACAAATAACGAGTGCGCCAGAAATAATGGCCACACTTTGCATTTCTATTTTCATTTAATTAATATATTGTATTAATAAAACAAAATATATCAGGAGACGCAGTGTGAAAAGCTCTACAATTTTACATGAGACCGATCATTTTATACTTTACTTTTGGACTTTCAAAATGGGCAAAATATTGAGCGAACCAATTTCGACCGTGCGAAAATCAGTCGTACAAAATTTTGCTCTTTTTGAATGCAATTACAATAAGCTTTACTGTGTAAATTGTAAAGCTTTTCACGCTGCATCTTGTCGTATATTTTGTTTTTTTTAAGTAAAAGATATCAGATGATAAAAAAAGGTGAAAGAAGAAACGAATTCATCTTATACAAAACAAAATATCATTTTTGCACGATCGAAATTGTATCGCTCGAAATTTCATCCATTTTGAAAATCAAAAGTGCAACTATGAAAAAAAAGTTGGTCTACATAAATTGTAGAGCTTTTTATGCTGCATCTTTTAGTATATTTTGTTTTTTTTTAAATGAAAGATATTAGGTGATAAAAAGATGAAGGAAAAAAACGAATTCATCTTGTATCAGAAAAAACATCGTTTTTGCACGGTTAAAATTTGATCCTTCAAAATGTTGACCATTTTGAAAGTAAAAACTGTAGTTATAAAAAAAACCGACCGTATGTAAACTGTAGAGCTTTTCACGCTGCGTCTCCTGATATATTTTGTTTTATTAATACAATATATTAAGTAAATGAAAATTGAAATGCAAAGTGCGGCCATTATTTCTGGTGCACTTGTTGTATGCTTCTGAGTAGTTTACAAAAATTACTAAGAGCTTACAAAAAAAATATAAAAGTACTCATGAACACTCAGTATTACAAGGGAGTACTCGATTGCCGTGCACAGATACTCAGATGAATTGAAGTATCGAACAGTCGTAGGAGTCTGAACCGAACAGCAAAGTAGCTTTTCTTGTATTATCCATTTTTTATATAAGACGATGCGAGATATTCGTTATCGATGGAATGTAATCCAAGGAGGCAATGAAAAGTTCGCTCCAGTGCCTTCACTATCATCTTGTACCAGCAAAAGCCGTTCCTCTATGGCAGCTTCAAAACTCGACTGTAATTGTTTTGAACGACCTGCAGCTGTAGATCTGTTTGATTTAAGATTTTTCAATGTTCTTGTTAAGTCATTCTTGAACAATCCTGAAAAAGATTTATTCTTAGAATTTTGCTCATGTAATCATGTACAAAAGAATAAATTACAACAAGGCCTATAAGAGTATTTTCTAAAGTAAGTGTCTACCGATCAAATCAAATTTTTTCTCTAATTTCAATTTACGAAACAATCATCGAACACTGACGCAAAATTCAATGGAAAATATTTGAATGGTTATTGATGCGCAAAAAGAAAGATGGACACGTTTATTTTCTTGTTCCTCTATGCATATTGATGTAAAGCAGTTTTTTCTCTTTCTGTCTTTCATAAGACATAGAAAACGAGAAAAAAAACAAGGTCATATGCGTGCGTTGCATCGTCCTGATGAGGCAACGCAATAGTGGCGCATACTTCTTTTTTTATTCGTCGAGCAATGATGCTCTCTCTATTCTATACGACACCTCCTTATTTTGCTGGTTTTTCGAACTATCGTAGAGAATAACTTATATAAATAGAATGATACATTCTCATTTGCATATATTACGCTCTGTAGACAAACGACAACTACGCCGTAACTTCTATTCAAACACGATCAAAAATGCCGTGCAAATGTGAAAGTAAGAAGTAATGTGAACATTAGGAAAGAGTTCCATCTGAATGTTGTTGTCATTCACTTAGCCAGAAAGTGTACATGCAAAGGTCAGGATGAGGACTGCATGAAAATGGGTAAATGTTCATGTGATCCAAGCTGCGAGTGCCATCAGATACCACGTAAGTTCACATATATATATAGCAACTCATTTGTCTTATTTTTTGTTCTTTGATTCAATTAAAGATCATGGTGGATGTGGCAAGGAACATTGTATGTGTCAGAATTGCAAGTGTCCGGCTGACACATGCAAATGTGGAAAATGATCACAAACATACTCATTGCATCGCATTCAAAAACAGTCTTTAAAACTTGTCTTTTTTTCATTTATGTAATGTTTGTTTGAAATATTTAAATAAAATTACTATTATAAAGCGGGAGACTTTTTTATGTTCACAAATGCTATCATTGTAAAATATTTTATTCAATCAAATTATTTGACACAGCGATCGTAGATATTATCGATTAGCTTGAGCTGCTTCATTACATTCATGTTTAAATTATATTATGAAGTACATTGACTTGCTTTATTGTTAAAAAAGAAATAGAAAAATATTCATCTTAGGTCGATCAACATATCGTCGAGGATTTTATATTGATGAACATCATTAGTTGTGTCCTAGTGTGATGATCACTTTTTTGTTAGAATATCGAATAAAGATCGATATATCAGCTTTCGAAAGAGTTGTCGAGAAGATCTTTGATAGAAATCTGACATGAAATAGATTTAACTTCTTACGTAACTTAGTCAACTCAGTTTTAACATCGAGTACAAATTTGATATTAAATTTTAGTTTTCATTCTGTTTAGTCGAACTATAATTGGAAATAGATCACAATAATCTATAAAAATCAAATCTCTTTTTATCAGAAAAGTGTTTTCGTCATCATATTTTCATAGAAACTTGATGCATAGATTACGTGATTAAGTTTTTTCTTTTATTAACTTTCAGAATTTGTTATCATTTTTTTGGGGGATGCTATGATCAATGTTCAACACAATCTGTTTGTAGATAGTCAAACAGAGTTTTTATGGATAGAAATGGTGCTGGTAAAGGCTATTTTAATGTGTACTGCCATCCAAAGTGCATACCTATTCGAATGATTAAGAAAATCGAAATAGTGCCATTGAATATGCTATTGACGATTATATACGACATGGGTTACAATATGACTTCCTGACGAAATATTAGGTGAAACATCCATCAACATCACCATGATCGAAACAATGCCTATCGATGTCAAGTAACACCATGCAAGTTTATTCGTTTGATACAGACTCTAAGGAGTTCAATGATATTTAAGAACGCAGAAAAGCTCAATTTTACACTTGTTTGAGTAATCTGCTTGCTACGAAAACAGCACATACAAGCTTTATCGTTGTTACAAGAACGATTCATATATAGATATTTATTATACAGAAGAACACATCGAAAAATGTAACGACGTAACAGAATGTATTGGAGAGAATTTGATTGCATCCTAATTCCAACAGAAAAAGTAAACGACTATTTTGCTATTTATTATACTTTTAAAATTAATTAAGTTTTATTAATAATACATATGTTCATGAATACTGAGATAATTATACTGTCCGATGTTGAAAACTTGAAATTTTAATTTTCCACTGATAAAGATACGGAAAAGGTCTTATGATTGGAGTA